CATAATATGTATGTTTAGAAATTGCAAGAGCGGTTGCCTCTGGGGAGGCCAAGAGGATGCGAAAGAGATACTTTACTTTTTACTTTTTATATATTGTTAAACCTTTTAAATTTTATACCATATGCATGTATTATCTATTCAGATATAATTTTTTGTCTTTATGACTTTATAAATTCTGAATTTAAGTGTACAATAGTGACGGTGACAAGGTTGTATTGCGAGTTAAGGGCTATCCCTTTCTCAAGGTCCAGTCGCTCTATATGAAAAGGAGTCAAGGTCATGCAAAAATAGGAAACAAAGTATTTATGACTACAGATTATTTAAAATCTAGACTTCCCTGTACTTATCTAGATGATTGATTTATTTTGTACTAGGCACTTCTCTTTTTCAGTTTTATTGAGATATAATTGACAATCCATCGCTGTATAAGTGTAAGGTGTACAGCATAATGGTTTGACTTACATATATTGTGAAATGATTACTACAGTAAGTTTAGCTAGCACCCATCATCTCAGATAGATATAATAATCAAATATAATTTTTAAAATACAAAAATAATATGTGCCTCTTGGAGAAAATAGAGAAAACGTTTTTAAAAATCAGTCCCATTGTCCAAAAATGAAAATCTATCAACATTTTGGCCTGTTTCCTTTTTTTAATTCTCTCATAGTCCATTCATTTATTCAATGCCTATTTATTGTTAGCCTCCCCTGAGCCAGGAAGCCTTCTAAGCACTGAGGCTACAACAGAGGACAAGGAAGGTCAAGCCCCTGCCTATTCCAGGCCCTTCGCACAGCCATGTACATGTTAGGATGAGCTTTTCAGTTGCTATAAGGTTTGCTAGAATTTTGATTGGGATTGTGTTGAATCTATAGATCAATGTGGGAAGAATTGGCATCTTAACAATACTAATCATAAATATGGTGTCTGTCTTCACTTATTTAGGTCTTCCTTAATTTATCTTATTAATGTTCTTTCGTTTTCTGAGTATAGGTCTTGTGCATATGTTGTTCAGTTTATTCCTAAGTACTTCATATCTTTATGCTATTGTAAATGGGATTGTTTTCAATTATGAACTTCAAATTGATTGTAGTAAATTGAAATAAAATTGGTTTTTGTAAATTGACCTTGTTTCCTGCAACTTTGCTAAACTTATTAGTTCTGGTAGTTCTTTTGTAGATGCCTTAGATATTTTACATAAAATGATCATATTGTCAGTGAATTAAAATTTTTTATTTCTTCCTTTCCAATTAGTATGGCTTTTGTTTTCTTTTCTTGTGTTATTGCACTAGCTAGGACCTACAGGACCATGTTGAATAAATAAAAGTGGTGAGCGCAGACATCCTTCCTTAGTCCCAGTGTGAGGGGTAAAGCATGCAGTCTCTCACAGTCAGGTACATTAGCTTTAGGGTGCCCTTCTGTTTCTAATCTGCTGAAATTTTTTATCATGATTGTTGAATTTTGTCAGTACTTCTGCCATCTACTTCTGCCATTGAAAGGATTGTATGGTTGGGGGTTTTTTGTTTGTTTATTAATATGATAAATTACATTGGTTGAGTTTAGAATGTTAAACCAACTTTGCATACCTAGGGTGAGTCCCCCCACTTGGTTGTGTTGTTTTATCCTTTTCAAGTATTTTTGGATTTGATTTGCTAAAATTTTGTTAAGGATTTTTCCATCTATATTCAGTGTATTGGTCTATAGTTTTCTTGCAATGTCTTTGTCACATTTTTGTTTTTGGGGTGTTTTTGTGTGTGTGTGTGTGTTTTTAAGATTTTTTTTATTGGGGAATTGGAGAGATGGGAACAGTGCTGGGGAATTGGGGGACGGGGAACAGACAAGTTGCTGTCGTTTTGTTCTTCAGTCTAGTTGTGGAGGATGTTGCTTCACTGACCCAAGTTGGCACCATCATTGCGCTCTTCCCGGGAGAGGCAGATCAGTAACCGGCTTCTGGACGGCCGCTCACTGCGGCTGCTGGCCGCTCACGCTGGCTGCTGGCTACACACGGTAGCCCATGGCAACCCACTGCAGAGGGGCTGCAGCCTACGCCGTCACCGGCGACTCATGGCAGCCCAGCTCCAGGTTGAGCTGTTGTTCAGCATCTTAGCTGTGGAGGGCAGTGTCACTGGCCCTCATATGTGGGATCCGAACCGGGGCCCTCTGGTGTCCCAAGCCAGCTCTTAACCATCGCGCCACTCGACCGGCCCTCTTTGTCACATTTTTGTATCAGAGCAATGCCAGACCCATAAAATGAGTCAAGAATTGTTCTGGGTTTTTTTCTTGAAGAGTTTCTGTAGAATGATATTCTTTCTTTCCTAAATGTTTGGTAAAATTTGCCAGTGAATCCACTGAGGCCACCCACCTTCCTTTGTGGAAAGGTTTTTAATTACAAATTTAGTTTCCTTAATAGATATAGAGCTATTAAGCATATCTTTTTTTGTGAGTGAGCTTTGGTAGTTTGTGCCTTTCAAGAACTTGTGTATTTCGTCCAAGTTGTTAAACTTAACATAAAATTATTAATAATATTCCTTTTTATCCTATTTAATGTCTGTAGGACCTGTACCAAGGTCCGCTCTTTCATTCCTGATATTGGTGATTTGTCTCTTTTCTTTTCTTCTTCTTGATGTCTAGCCAGAGGTGTCTTAACTTTATTGATCCTTTCTAAACCAGTCCGTGGCTTCACTGATTTTGGGTTTAATTTACTCTTCTTTTTCTAACTTTTAAGATAGAAGCTGCTATTATACATTTTAGACTTTTCTAATATAAGCATTTCAAGCTGTGTATTTCCCTTCAGTACTGCTTAAGTTATATCCCACTACTTTTGATATGTTGTATTTTCATTTTCCTTCCATTCAAAATATTCTCTAATATCCCTTGTGACTTCTTTCTATGACCCATGGGGTGTTTAGAAGCATGTTGCTTAATGTAACAGATATTGAGGGTTGGGGGATTCAGATATTTTTCTGTTACCAATTTTTATTTTAATTCTTTTGTGGTAAGGAATATATTCTGCATTATTTCAGTCATTTTGAATTAATTGAGGCTTGTTTGAGGGCACAGTGTGTATTCTATCTTAGAAGTAAGTGTTCCGTGTGCACTTACAAAGAACGTACATTCAGCTGTTGGATGGGGTGTTCTCTGGATGGCAGCTAAGTTGGTGTTGCCATGGGCTTCTGTGTGCTTACTGACCCTCTGTCTGGTTGTTCCGGCAGTCGCTAGGAGAGGAGTGCTGAAAGTATGCTTTTGGGTCTGTCAGTTTCTCCTTCCAGCTTCTGTCAGTTTTTACTCCAAGTATCTTAAAGCCTTTTGATTAGGGATACATATTTGGGATTGTCTCTGCTGAATTAATCCGTTTATCATAAAATGCCCCCCTTTATCCCTGTCATATTCCTTGTTCTGAAGTCTTTTTGAATTTTAGTAGATTTTCTTTCTGAAGAATTCTGCCAATCACTTTTTATTGAGCTTCTCACAAAATCCACCTGGAATTCTGATTGAGATTTTATAGATTTATTTGGGGAGAACATCTTCAAAATATTAAATCCTCTCATCTAAGAACATAGGATGTCTTTTCATTTATTCTAATTATCTTATTCTTTATTAGAATTTAAAAATGTTTTTCCATAGAGATTTGTGCATTTTTATTAAGTTAATTCCTGGATATTTTAGTTTTTTTCTCTTATGAATAGTATCTGTTTTTATGATATTTTCTAGTTGTCGTCTACTAATGTAGAAAAATACTATTGAATTTTAGATTGATCTAACATCTGATAACTTTGCTAAACCCTCCTATTACTTTTGGTAGCTTTTCTATTCTGTATCCTTGGATGCCTCTGCCATGAATGGGAGATGTAGAGCAGGCAGCTGACTACACAAGTGAGGCGTTCATGGGAGAGGACCTGGAAGTATACATTTGGGGATTGTTGGCATACAGATGGTACTTACAGTCATGTCGCTGGATAAGATTACCAAGGGAGTGAATGTAGACAGAAAAAGGATCCCAGGCGATGTTAACAAGTTGAGGAGATGAGAAGGAACCATTGAAGGAGCAGCGAGTGAGGAAAGAGGAAAGCCAGAGGAGTGTGGCGTCGCAAAGCCACGTGAAGAAGTGTTTCACTCACTCACAGTCTGTATGTCTGCCTCCCGCAGCAGAAACGAGTCCCTCAGGGGTTTGCTCTTGACCACTCCTGCAGGCAGTGTGGTCAGCGGTAAGAGCAGGGCTTCTGCTGTCCCTGCGGAGTGTGGAGTGTGTCATGGCAGCTAGCACAATATCTGATGCCATTAGTGCTTAAAATGTGGGACGAGCGATTCTGTTAGTAGGATATGTCAGGGAGACAGGGTGGGAACGTGGGCTACAGTTATCCTGGACAGCTCCTTTGGGGGAGCTGCGGAGCTGGCGGAGTGGGACGCACATGAGGAAGGAAGGCATTCTTCAACCCCAGGTTGGAGTTTGTGAATGCACAGTGTTTGAAAAGACTGACTCAGTGCATAAGAATACACACACAAATTGTGACTTAAAGAAAAAGAAGAGGGGAGGAAACCTATAGATTATAAAAGATGTAAGGAACATACCCATAAGCAATGTATGGATCCTGGTTCAAGCAAACCAGTTTAAAAAAAAAATGAGACGCAGGAAATTTGGCAATGATTGCAATTTGATATTTAAGGAGTTATCCTTTTTATCTATACTAGTTTATGGTTATGTATTAAAAGTCATTTCACTTTCAGAGATACACACCAAAATATTTAGAGATGAAATTACATGATGTCTGAATTTTGCTTCAAATAATCCAGTGGTGGGAAGGAGTGATGAGTGGGGTGATGGGTGAAACAAGATTGACTTCAGTTGATAGTTATTAAAGTTTGGGGGGTAGCTCTGTGGAAATTCACTTTGGTATCCCTTCTACCTTTGTATGTGTTTGAAAATTTTCATAATAAACAGAAAAAAGAAAGAATTGAAGGACTATGTTTACCACTTGTAATGTTTGACCTTATTACACTAGATTAGAATTTGAGAAACAGAAAACTCGGCTTAATATTCAACTCGAATACAGTCGCAATCAATTGAAGAAGAAACTAGATAATATTAACACATTAAAAGAAACTGTCCAGAAAGGTACAGAAGAGATTGATGACCTAAAGAAGGTAATTAATGATGGGGGAACTGAAGCCCCGTCATTGAAATGATGACTTCGTTCATTGAATAACGTTTGTTGTGCTCGTGAAGTGTTACCGAAGTGGGTGGGGGCGGATTGGAGAAATGCTTGCAGTAGAATCGGCACAGCCTCACGAATTGCTGGATGTTGAAGTGGGAGAGGAGGCGGGGGGTGCCACAGATGACTCGTGCTAACTTGGGCGGAGCAGGTTAAGGAGAGAAAATGCTGGACCTGTGGCACTTCAGCTGCCTATGTGACATCTAGATAGCAACTGCCAGCAGGAGGTTAAGAGTACAGACTCCAGGAGAAGTCTAGGCGGGTTCATGGGGGTGGGTGGGAACCATATGTGAAAGGTTGAGCCTCTCGGGCAGAGAGTTAGGCAGTGAAGGGCTGTGGAGCAAGAATGGAATTCTGGGAGGAGTGGTCACATCGGTTATGAAGTGAGCCAGTGGGGTGATATCATAGAAGCCCCCGAGTTTCAGGAGGGAGAAAATGGCGAAAGCTGTCAAAAAGGTAAAGCCTGGAAAATGTCTGTTTAGTTGGCTAATTAAGAGGTCACAGTAGCAAGAACATTTTCACTGACAACGGGAACAGAAGTCATGGGGCGGTAAACTGAGCAATGAATCTGAAGTGAAGGACAGAGGCAGGTAGTGATGACCAGTTTCTGAGAAATGCACCATGGGCGAGAGTCACAGCCACGGGAGAGCCTGCGGCAGTTCTCAGGGTAAGGGTTTATCTCAGAATGGCTGGTTTGGCTTCCCTGGTAAGATGAGCGATTGACCTTATTAATGTAAATGGCGGTGAAGCTACAATGTACATCATCTCCATCCAGGCTGAGGAGCATTATCTGCAAGCTGTGGATGAGCTCATGGCGAAGAGGCAGCAACTGCAGGACAAATGTCTCGCTCAGAATGCCACCGCTGAGAAAGTCCAAGCTCAAATTGAAGAGGAACGGAAGAAGTTTTTGGCTGTTGATAGGTAATTGAGAAGTTTATCGGTTTGAAAGACCATACGCAGAGTTTTTACAGGTTTAGCATGGATTTCACATTTATTATACAAAGTTTATTATTTGAATATGTATCCTGTGTTGCTTTTGGTCCCACATCACACCTTTCAAGTATTCTAATTTGGAGGAAAACCAAGACAGGTGGCTAGTTCTCTAGAGTGAATTCTTTTTGGTGGATGACCACGTGGACCTGTGTAGACATGGTCCCTTGCCCTGAACTCCTCTTGACACTGGGGTCCTCCTGTTGTACAGTCTCCCTCTAGTTGACTTAGCAGTGAGGGCTGTGCCTACATGGCTCCGTGTCCCAGCTCTGCTGCTGAAGATCCATGCCGCTATTCCCCATCAGTGACATGGGGGTGTAATAGTGCCAACCTCATTGAATACTGGGAAGGATGAAATGAGTGACTGTTTCTGTGGCGCTTAGAACAGTAGTACCTGGCACATGACAAGTATGTGCATTTGCCACAATGATTGTCAGTCACACTTAGAATCGACTGGCTCGTGGCACCACAGTAACAGCTGCTTTCCTGGATGATTGACAGACCACAGTGAGCACATGAAACGTGCTGCTTGTGCCCAGCCTCTTGGCATATCAGTTTCCCCCACTGTTCAAAGACCTTGTGTTTCAAGGTACAGTCAGAACGTTTGTGTCGTAGATTTTCGGGTGCAATGAAAGCTTGTTTCCTCTTTTTTTTTTTTTAAGCTTAAACAGAACCACATCTCTGTTTGTTGTCATGTTCTTGAAAACCATATAATTCTTAATGTAATTTATTTTATTTTATGGTTCTGTTTCTAGTTCCTCTTTAAAATCCTTCACTGTTTCAGCTGGTCGAACCCCCAAGCCCTCATTTCAGATAGAAGGCATTACATTAGTGATGGTGTTAGGAAAAAAGTTCAGGCTATTTATTAGGTGTGTGATGACTTACTTAGTAGACATTTCTCTTGTTAAGAGACTCTCTTGGTTTGAGGTTCTAAAATGTAGAGCTTATATTGAGAGAAATACAACTTGAAAAATTGTACAGATTTAAAAATAAAGTACAAAAGCTCTGTATTGCTGCTAGCCTGATTGAAGTAACAGTACTCATTGAATATTCAGTTCTCGCTTAGATTAATTAATCAGATTCACATCCTTTCTCAGGAGTGTTAAAATTTAAATTACAAGCATCACTGAGATCACTCTAGATCTTATAGCACTCATAGGAAATAATTTTTTCATGTAAGTTTATAACACATTTTTCTTCTTTGATGCAACTTTACATAATAAGTAAAGTATAATTACTTATCTATGTATTTACAGGGAAGCGAGAAAACGGCAAAAAGAAGCTGTAATCATTCAGTCTTCTCTGGAACAGAAACGGCTGGAGAGGCATAATATGCTGCTTGATTGCAAAGTTCAAGACATTGAAATAATTCTTTTGTTGGGGTCACTGGATGACATCATTGAAGTGGAGGTATTCTAGCAAGTGATTTTAAAATCAGTGCGGTTGTGTGGCACTTACTAGAATGCCCTGTGCTGCTTAGTGAGAGCCCAGCTCTGCAGATCCTTCCTCTTGTTGTTCTGAAGCCCCATTAGGGGCAGAAAACACATATGCTCCTCCTAGGATGGAAGAGGGCCAAACCATCATCACTGTAGAGCACTAGGCTTCCTGGGTGGTTTTCTCCTCTCCCTTGCTAATTCAGGTCCTTTTATCCCATAGGATGGACCAGAGTTTCTTACCTGTAGAGAGATACTGAAGAGAAATTAGTAGCTTTGATTAGAGGGGAAAGAGAAATCTTTCCTGACCTCCTGCAGAAAAATCCTGGGGAAGAACTGGCTCATTCTGGGTCCTGTGTCCACTCTACGGGCGCAGAGACGGAACGGGGATGTCTGGTGACAGCAGAAGTCGATGGGATCAGGAAAACAATACTCACTATACCATAGAAAGAACAAGAAATTCCAGTCAGGGACTCACCACTAGAGGCCGTCCATCTTTCATCCATCTGTCTGTTTATAAGGGAATGTGAGTTTAGAAGAGGTTTGTTAGAATAGAGGCGAGGCGGAAGCAGTCCTAATGACTGACGTCTAAATGGACGCTATTGGTCCTAGTGCTCACTCAGCTGGCGGGCCTTCAGAGTTACTCTGAGCATGCCCACCAGGAATGTGAAGCTAGTTCCTTCTTTGTTTGCTTGAAAGACTTTCATAGTCCTGGTGGGGTGTTTGTTGCAAGGTAGATGGAGTTGAATCATCCGAAAGGAAAAAGTAGTAGTTTTATTCCACTTTGTGCTGGTCAGGCCACACTGGAATATTGCAGTCACCTTTTAAAGCATGATGCTTTTTAAGAGTGAGGTGTCCAGGGGACTGAAAAGGCCCAGACCATGTCCTGCTGGGAAGAGAAGGCTTGGGGATATGATTATCCTCCTCCATTGGAAGGTGGTCTTATCTTAGCAGAAAGATCACACTTGTTTTTTCTGGTTCTGTGGGGATCCTGGGGTTGGGGGTGGGGACCACAGAGTCAGATTTCTTCTGCTCGGGAGCACTTTCTACTAGAAAGACGGACGGCCTCCAGTGGTGAGTCCCTGACTGGAATTTCATCAGCACATCTAGTGGTGGCCATGTAACGGGATGCTGTACAAGACATTTGATAAAGGCATCAGGTATAAATGGCCTCTCTCCGGAAGGCTGAACAAGGGTCACTGGGTAGAACTAATCATTTACAACAGTCGTTATAGGAGTGATTGTCCTACAACAATTGTGAGGCAGAACCTGAGATTTCCCTTCCACTGGAGGTGTTCAGACAGAGGGTGAGTTACCTGCCCTGCCAGCGTTCTCATAGAAGATTTTTCTGTTGTGGGAGAGGCTAGATCACTGGTCCCACGTCATTCTGTGAGCGTGAAGCATCTGGGGGTCCGGTTTCCAAGCTTCTGCCATTCTTGATGGCTCCCGGGTGAGGCCCGCTGTTGCCAGGCCCCAGACGACTCAGAAGTGTCATAGAAAATACAGCATGGAATCACAGAAATGGGGATTGAAAGATTCAGGGATTCAGAATTACATTCTGTATTCAAGTTCAACCTCTATTTGAGCTGTCTTAACTTGCACATAAATTACATAACATGTAGACATAATTCCAAAAGTTGTTTCATTGAGCTTGTCAGAGAATATCTAGGAAGGAGTGAGTGACAAAGGTTTTCTTCTCTCTTAGTTTGTGCATCTTGGTTTTGGGATCAGCATTACACTGACAGCCAGCCCACACTACAGCTGCATAAGTGCTCATTTATTTCTGTGTTCCTCCTTCCTGTTCCTTCCTTCACGCATAGAGTAGCACGTGTTGAAACTAGAATACATGTTGCCAGTGACTGCATGAGGCGCTGAGAATGGCGCAATGAATGCAGCTGCCAGAAATCCCTTCCTTCACGTTGCACTGGGGGAGAGACAGGCACACAAACAAAATGGCAAACAAATAAAATTTCATGTGTTTGGTGGTGACACAGGCCAAAGGAAAACTAAAGCAGGAGAGAATGGAGTGTTGGTGGGGGGTTTGCAGTCTCAGGTGGCCAGGCTGTGTGCGGCCCGAGAGAAGGTAGTCGGTAAGTAGAGGACATGAGAGATGGAGTGGCACGGGCATCCAGGGGCAGGTTGTGCAGGCAGAGGGCAGTGCCGGCCCTGCCTGGGCAGATGTGTGCCCACTCTGTTCAAGGCGGCCAGTGCAGCTGGAGCAGAGTGAGGGCAGGGGAGACTGGCACAGAATGAAGTTAAAGGGATGACAGGGCCGGGTGGCTGGGACCAGACTCATGGCCTTGCACGTCAGCTTTTAATCTGAGCGAGGTAGCAATCAGCCGGCGGGCTTGAGGCAGATGGATGAGTAGATTGCATTTCAGATAATGAGGAAAGGGTTTCCTATGTTTTCCAGCTAGGAACGGAAGCAGAAAGTACCCAGGCAACAGTTGACATATATGAAAAAGAAGAAGCCATTGAGGTAGACTACAGCTCTCTAAGAGAGGATTTGAAGGTAACTGAAAGATTGCTGCTGTTTATAACTAATTCACGGGAATACTGAATATTTAAATGCTGCAGAATAATTTTCAGACCATAGAGCATAAGTTCAGGGGAAAAAGTAGATTTCCTAATGGCTTTTGAAGAAATAGTATAGATCGGTTACTTTTTTAAATGTTTCTATCAGCATCTCTCACTGTGTGTTTTGCAGAATACTAGTACCGTGAAATGCCTCTCCAAAGGAGAGAGGTTTCTGTGCTCAGTCAGTTTTTGGAAGGGCTCCCCTTTTCTTGGAGATTCACAGTGAACTTCAGAGTCTTTGAAAAGTCCTGCAATGGGGCCAGCCGAGTGGCGCGTTGGTTAGGAGTTGGCTTGGGACGCCATCTCTGAGCAGCAGGGCCCCGATTCGGATCCCACATGAGGGCCAGTGACGCTGCGCCCTCTACAGCTAAGATGGTGAACAGCAGCTCGACCTGGAGCTGGGCTGCTGTGAGTCGCCGGCGATGGCCGTAGGCTGCAGTGGGGCTGGCCTGCAGTGGGCGTGAGCTTTCACAAGCTGCCATGAGCCACTGTGAGCAGACATCCAATGGCCAGCGAGCAACTGCCTCAGCCGGGAAGAGCGCAATTATCATAATACCAAGATGGGCCAGTGAAGCAACGTCCTCCACAACTAGACTGAAGAACAAAAGGACAGCAACTTGTCTGTTCCCCTCCCCCAATTCCCCAATAAAATCTTTAAAAAAAAAAGTCCTGCAATAGACAAAAGTAGCCAACATACTCCATCCAACATCCTGAATGTGCCCTGTCATGGTCCCAGTGTGGTTTCTTAGTATACAGCAATCCTTCATGGCTGCAGAGCATGGCCTGGAACCCAGGTTCATGTCTCTTTAATTCAGAGCTTTGCTGTCTCTCAGTCACCCCTATAGGCAAGCACTGTGTGTTGTGACTGTCCCAAGGCTCTTGCTCTCTGGAGGGAAAAGGACTGGAGCCATTGTTGGCTTTCCCACCACATATCCACAATCTTCAGAGAAGAGAGGCCTTTGGTGGTGGTGCTATTCCTAAGACTGAAGGAAGGCTTTTCCTGCAAAGTTCCAGCAATTGTCCTCTCATCGCAGCGGCCTGAGTTGGGTCACATGTTCATTGCTGACCAACCACTGTTGGATGGGGTGGACTTAGTCTTAGACCAAGCAGGCCGCCCCTGAGCCTCCACATGGGACCCGTGGTCAAATACGGGCTGTTAGGAAGGAAGAGATGGTGATGGATGCCAAGTAGCAGTGCCCACCACATCTTTTAATTTCATACGTTCTTAATGGATTTGTTAGATTTGTTGGGCTCTTTGATTGTATTTGTGGAATGTGTAGGCAATTCGAAGCTTTTGTCTTTTCTGTAGTCTACTTGGTGCTTTCATATTTTAAAAGTCCTCCCCTTATTACTGAGTAAATATTTATAAATATTTTCTTCCTGTTGATGGTTTTCCTGTTTTCATGTACCTATTTAATTCATCTGAGATTTTAGCATATGGTATGAGGTAAGAATCTGTTTTTTACAAAGGTACCTAAGTTAACCAATTTACTCAACATTTTTCAAATAATTCTTTTCCCAATGAATTAAAATGTCACCTTTATCATATATTAATTAAGCCCCTCTGGGAGGCCAGGAAAACCTTCCTGGAAGGTAATGGCTGCCCCACTTGTTCCCTCCGTCCTCGCTCGAGGTAGTCCTAGTCATTGTTCAGGTCTCAGCTTCAGTGTCACCCATCGTGAAGGTTTGGATGTCCCCTCCCTGCCCTGTTGCACCCCTGCTTGCCTGTCAGAGGGTTTCCACGGTGTGGATGTCTGACTCCCTGTGCGCTCTCGAAGGGCAAGGACAGAACGGTTTCATACGAATCCTCAGTGTCTGATACACAGTAGAGGATCAATACATTTTAATGAATGAGTGAATGAAGCTGATATAGGAATTGTTGCTTTTTAGCCAGATTAAGAAATAGGGAAGTGAAGCGCATTTCAAGAGAGTGGCGTCTGTAACACTAGAGCCACGACAGAGCGCAGCTGACTGGGAAGCACCTGTCAGACTCCCAGGTGGCTGCGAGGGAGGGAGGGCGGGAGGGTAAGTCCGGGGCTGGGATCCGTCAGCACTCGGATGGAAGGCATGCTGGTCACTGCCATTCCGTCCACTAACAGGAGCTGCAATCCGATGAAGAAGTCGAGGCCCACCTTAAACTCCTTCAGCAACAAGTGGCATCCCGAGAAGATGTCCTGCTGAGGACCACGGCCCCTAACCTAAGAGCCCTGGAGAACCTGAAGACTATCCGAGACAAGTTTCAGGAGTCCACAGAGGGTGAGCTGAGCTTCGCTTGTTCGCAGGACCACATTTGGGGCGCTTGGGTTTTGATTTCTATACCACTTAACAACCCCCCTAGATCTTACCTTAGTTTTATTATATTATTTTTCTCTGTTGTCTTATATTGCTGTGTACTTTTCATACTGAATCACTAATTGCTTCCTTTTTGAAAAGTGTTCTACTTTAATTTAAAAACAGATTTATTGGCTATTTTAGAACACGATTTATTTTTTCATGTCAGCCCAATAGGCATATTAGATACTCTATTAGAACTTGGCATCATTATTTAAAAATTAGTCCTACCGGAAAAAAGGCTCAACAACTCTAAGAGCCATGCTCATGGAGTTAATAATTGAGGTATTTTAAATGTAGATTTTACTCAAGACAACCAACCTCAAAATGCAAGTTTAAAAATATTTTATGCTTTAAAGTTTAAATAAGAGAAGCTCCTCAGTGGTCTCTAAAATAAAGTACATTGATTTTCTCTTAGCTTTTGAGTCCAGCAGAAAGGAAGCCAGAATTTGTAGGCAAGAGTTTGAACAGGTGAAAAAGAGGAGATATGACCTTTTCAGCCAGTGTTTTGAGCACATCTCAGTCTCAATTGATCAAATCTACAAGAAGCTCTGCAGAAACAACAGTGCCCAAGTATGTATTCTTCACCCCAAATATTAGTGGGGACTTCGCGTTATTGGTGGTGTTTTTTCTGGTGGGAAATAAATACCCACCACATTGAGTGACTCACTTATGTGGCACAGTCAACTCATGAGATTGGGTATCATACTGACCCGTGTTCCAAAGCCCACTCACTCTACCTCTGGCCAAGCTGGACAAGTCCACGTCGCTCTGGTCCTGTTTTTTCATCTGAGAAATGCGTGGGTCATACCATCGAATGTCCAAGTTCTCTTTAGTTTTGGAGTTCTGCTCTCTGGTACTAATTTGATTTTGTAGACCTGCCAATGGTTTCTAGTGAAGGTAAGGTGAAGTAGAGGATCTTGGGAAATGGTTGGCGTGGGGCCTGTGGAGCTGACCTAAGTAACAAAGGTGAGGGAAAGAACTAAAGGCAGGATCCACATCCAGATGTGCCCACTGTAATGGTGGCCTCTGTGCGCACCGCCCAGTCCATTGTCAGCATCCACAGCAAGCACTGTGGAACTGAACGTGGAATGAAGGTGTAGATCGGATCTTAGACATCTGCTTTTATTTTCTCGTGGTGTTCTTTTGGGACAGAGAGGATATCCCTCAGCAGATATTTAGAATTTCAACCAAAAATTATTTTTAGTAAAGTAAGACTAAAAAAAGACTCATTAACTCCTTGAGGGCAGGCTTCATCCCTGTGTCTACAGTACACAGCCCGTAACAGGCGTTCAGTGACTGGTGGACAAACGGACCAATGAGTGAACTGAATGAAGACTGGTGTTAAGACTGCAGATGTACTGCTGAGGCTCGAACGCGGTCCACTAGGAAGGCCTGAGACTTTCCGGTTGTCATTGTTTCCTCTGCTCCCCACCCAGACAACCCTGTTGTCGTGATTACAGGTGGAGCTAAATACATTTACAGGCATTGGTATTTTCCCATCAAAATGGAGGACAACCTAACAATAGAATATTTTGCAGTTAAACTCTTGCAACTCCAAATTGAAATTTACTAATAGCTTTTCTGATATTGCTAAATAAATAGCATGTGTTTCAGGCATTTCTTAGCCCAGATAACCCAGAAGAGCCTTACTTGGAGGGAATTAGCTACAACTGTGTGGCCCCAGGCAAACGGTTCATGCCGATGGACAACTTGTCGGGGGGAGAGAAGTGTGTGGCGGCTCTGGCTCTGCTCTTCGCTGTGCACAGGTAAGGTCACGGAGCCATGGGCTGTGCATCAGGGCAGAGCCCATGGCTGCCTACCGAGTTCTGTCCATTACTCGTCTTTAGCTGTGTTTAGTATTAGGTGATACAAAACAGTTTTCTTCAGCCAGACAAGTCAGGCTATGTTTATGTCACTAACAATTTAGACAGCAAATCTGAGAATTCAGTCTTTGACAGATTTTTATTCAATTTCTGTTATCAGCGCCTACTAATATTTCAGCTTTAGAGAACAGAAAGAAGAAAAGTAAATATTTGGAAGGGCCAGACGAGACATCAGAATTGCCAAAAAAAACCCAAATAAAACAAAAACACCCAACTTGTATATTATTTTCCTAGTCTATATTCAGAGAGCTGTTTTGTAAAGAATGTTAAGCATGTATTCTGAAGAAAATGTTTCACCTCCTTATTTCCACTGATGATCGTGTCACACCAAGCGTCATGCCAGGGTTCAGCTCCTAGCGGATGAACGCAGGGTCCGGTGAGGCCGAAAAAGGAACAACAGAGCCACAGACAGCGGGTTCATGCCACTATATTACATTCTCAATGGCGGCTGGTCGAGACACTAGAAGCAAACATACGCCAGTATCCCAATAAGGGGTCTTCCTGCTGACACAAGAAGTAGGGTCAGCACAACCTACGACCTCCCCGCTTGCTAAAGCAGCCGCAGCAGTTGTATGCAGAACAGCGGCTAATGGCCAACTGGCTACAGCTGATGGCAACCAGTCACAGCTGACGGCCATCCAGTAACCAAACCAGCACCCTTCCAGGTGAACTGCACTTCTGGTACTCCATCCCAACAATGGTGACACAGTTTGTTAAGATAAATCAAGAAAAAGTTAGCTAAAATTAAGGCAATTAACTTCATTCAAAGCAGAGATGATCTAAAGTGTAGATGCTGCTGCCTCATTTCATGATCAGGAAGATTGACATAAAAGCTCTACAGCTGATTTTTACTGGTCTCAAGAAGGAAAAGGAATGTGTCATTTCAGAAAAGAAAAAGAAAATCCCTTTAATGCAGAGGGATTTGGGGAGAGCAGGAGCATGGATCTAAACATGAGCCTGTGTTGAGTAAATCTTACCAGAATAAGACTTTCGAGGTGTCAGCCCCTCCATTTATTTATTCAGTGGATATTCACTAAATATTTACTGGGAGTCAAGTGTTGCTGTGGGCACTAGAGAGACAGCAGTGATCCAAAAAATCCGCGCCCCTGATCGTTCATGCTAGATGGGGAAGACAGATGATAAATAAGGTCTATTAGCAAACGAATTCTCCAATGTGGAGATGATGAGAAATGGCAAATGCTGTAGAGAAGAAAATGGAAGCGGGAATGGAGACAGTGAGCAGCAGGGAGGGGTTGGCTGTATTAAAGAGCCGTGGGAGGCCTCCCTGAGAAGGGAACATTGAGCAGAGATGTGGATGCTGAGGAAAGAGTGTTAGACGTGAGGAGCGGCCAGTGCAAAGGCCCTGAGGCCAGAGTGCGCCTGGCACCTGCAGAGAACGGACAGTACGTGGCAGTGGCAGGCATGGGGTTAGGAAACTTGTAGCAGTCAAGGTGGAAGGTAGCGATGGCTCGGGCCAGGGTGAGGGCAGAAGGTTGAGCAGACAAGGCAGAGGGTGTGCGGAAGGAGTCGGATGACTTTAGCCTAATCAGCTCGAGTGATGAGAGCTGCTGTTAACTGGAGGGAATGGGTTCCCAGGGGCAGGTGAGGAGTGTGGTTTTGGATGAGTTTGAGCTGTTTATTAGACACCCGTGAGGTAAATTGTTGAGTAAGCTGTTGGATGTGTGAGGCGAGAGTTCAAAAGAGAAATCAACGGGCCGGCCGAGTGGCGCGATGGTTAAGAACTCGCTTGGGATGCCAGAGGGCCCCGGTTCGGATCCCACATGTGAGGGCCAGTGACACTGCCCTCCACAGCTAAGATGCTGAACAACAGCTCAACCTGGAGCTGGGCTGCCCTGAGTCGCCGGCGACGGCGTGGGCTGCAGTCCCTGTGGCAGTGGATTGCCATGGGCTACCGTGTGTGGCCAGCAGCCAGCGTGAGCGGCCAGCAGCCGCAGTGAGTGGCCGTCCAAAAAAGAAGCCGGCGACTGACCTGCCTCGCCAGAGAAGAGCGCAATGATGGTGCCAACTTGGGCCAGTGAAGCGATGTCCTCCACAGCTAGACTGAAGAACAAGACGACAGCAACTTGTCTGTTCCCCTTCCTCCCAATTCCCCAGCGCTGTTATCCCCCAATCCCCCAATAAAAAATCTTTAAAAAAAAAAAAGAGAAATCAACTATCCCTGGAAGTGTGGGAGCCACCCACGTATGGGTGGTATTTAAGATCAGATGACTCACCAAGGGGGCTCATCAGATAGAGGAGTGTCCCCTCCAGGACCCTCCCCAGGCGACACAGTATTACATAGGAGCTGGCAGACAGGACTGGGAGGGAGCAGCGGTATGGCAGGGGAAGTAGACCCACACCTTCACCTCCGGGAGCAGCGGGAGGACCAGGTTCCACCTGCAGAGCTCCCGTGGGGTGCGGGATGCGGTGGCACTGAGCAGCAGCGAGCACTGAGTGTCCAAGAGGATGTGTGTGTTCATCCTGAATACTGTTAGTCCTCTCCTCCATCTCATAAAACGGATGGAAAGTTGTAACGTCTCATTTTCCTTCTAGTTTTCGGCCGGCTCCATTCTTTGTTTTAGATGAAGTGGATGCAGCCCTGGACAACACAAACATTGGCAAAGTAAGTTTCTCTCTGCTTTAATTTCCAGGACTGCCGTTGCCTCTGACTGGAGCCCCTGTGTGAGTGCAGCCTCTTAGCCAACAGCTGGTCCCCTCATCCTTCAGCTCAGCTGGCGGCTCCTCACTGAAGCTGCCTGTCCTGCCACAGCTGTGTCCTGAGGACCCTGGGTGCAGCCAGGACCTGCGCACAGGCAGACCACCCAGGCCCCGCGACGCAGGGCTGGGCAGGCGGCTTGTTAAACTGTGGCTTGAGTCTGAGTTCCTCCCCCAACATGCCACACATTCTGAGCAGTTTCTTCACCAGGACCCATCTCTGTCCAGCCTGTTTTGTTCTTACTCTCATTCCTTAGAACAGACCTTCCTGAAGGAACCGCGGAGTCCACCTCTAACCAAACGATGGGTTACGGATTATGAATACGTACATCATGGCCATCCTTTCCCCATGTTCAGGCTTTGAGCTGGTGAAATGGGAAGTCGGAAGTTTACATGGCAGCCCTTCTTCACCCTCATAAAACATCTGTGTGGTCGCTTTTGTTTTATCTTGTTAGGAAGACTGATTGCATATTTACAGGATATTGTAGAGAGAGCTTCATTCTTAAAAATATTCTGAAGTTTTAGATCATAGATTTAAATGAGGTTTATATATTTTTTTACTAACCTCTTTATTTTAGAATCGGAACTATTTCCATTTCTGCAGTTGTGGTGGACATACTGAATTACCAGGAAGGCAAGGGCCTTGTCACCTACAGTGCGCAGACTGAGACATGTAGAATCACTGTCCGCAGAGCCCAGGACAAGGCCTTTCCTCCTTGGTGAAATGTGTGCTTTTGATTTCCTCCCAGGTATCAAGTTACATCAGAGAGCAGACTCAGGAACAGACTCAGATGATAGTCATTTCCCTGAAAGAGGAGTTCTATTCCAAGGCCGATGCCCTGATAGGCATCTACCCAGAGGTAAAGGAGGAGGGGGTCCCGGCAGCACCCCCAGTCCACGTGGCGTCGACAGACACTGATTGCTGCAGTTGCTAAATATAGGCTTGAATGATTTTTTTAAATCAAACAAGATTTAAAAGGAACTCATATTTTTCTGTGGCAGTACACAGAGATTTTAGATATTTTAAGTGAAAAAGTACATTGAAAATTGTAGAATATGATAGTTTATAAAGTAATAATACATATTACAGAGTAAACTGTTAACATTGTATTTCATATTTCTGTAATGTTTGAATGTTTTAGACAAAAACAAATGCACTGTGGTAGAACGAACAAGGAACCATTTATCTTTCAAAAGTACCAGAAGAAAACAAAGAAATTGACTGGAAGATCCAAGTTGTAGAGTAACTTTTACACTCTGAACACACCTTTCTGAGGTGCTTCAAAATGCTTACCTGAGCTGGTGGAGTAGAGCAGCTAATTCTAATCATTCAGTTTGGGGACTGTTAGGTTTTATTACTTCCTGAGTTTTTCTTCAAGCTAAGATAAAAATGGATTTCCCTTGCTGTGCTTACACAATGTTAGGGACCACTGTAAATACGCTGCAGGAAGAAATGAAAATTCTCATTGGAAGGGGAGGGGGAAACGTCCTTCTCTGTCCATCTTAGGATCTCTGGCTGGGGCCTGTCAATCAGCCTAGCAGATGGGTTAGGAGAGAAAAATAAATAGGAGCCATAAACACGTGCATGGAGCAGGTGCCCAGAGCACAGCAGCGAGGAGTAACCCACCCAAAGGGTGGCCACTGCGTGGACTGCTCCATCGCCTTAGGCTGAAGCGAGGGAGGGGCTTGGGGCTTCAGGGTGGTGACAGGGCAAGTAATGGTGGTGACAGGCAAAGTGTGGGAAAGGGGTGTTCCATCGGGTTTGCTCTGCAGACTCAAGTAGGTGCCTTCTCCCTTGAGACCCTTAAGGGCACCGAGGGTGTCATCTTGCACATAAACGTAGATTCCCTTTACAAAAGGAAAGCCTGGGCCCAGCTTTGAGCTTTTCCTGCATCGATGGTTCTCAACAGCTCAAAACAATCCATATACCAGAGAGCCATATTGGGGAGGCATATTCTAGTACCTTTTACCAGATAATACAAAAAATAAAGAAAGCTGATGTAAATGCTTCTTAGGCGGCTAGAAGGAGTTTCCTTTTAAAATGCAAATCGATTCACCAATGGCCCTTATTTTGCGTTTACTAACACCTTTCCCCAGAAGTGGAAAGACTGATTTGACTGTCTGCCTCCATTTCAGTATGATGACTGCATGTTCAGCCGAGTGTTGACCCTCGATCTTTCTCAGTATCCAGACACCGACGGCGGAGAAAGCAGCCAGAGACAGCGGGAGAGTCCTGTGGGGACCTAGAGTGCCCTTGAGCGGCTGCCAGCCCAGGGCAAACAGGACAGCCCTGAGGCGGTCAGGGTCATCGTTGTTCAGTTCCCACGCCAATGTTCAAACAGCCCTGAATAACATACTCCTGGAACAAGCAAGACGGCCTGCGTGCCATTCCAGGAAAAGCTTGTTACCAGCCAAAGATGTGGTAGTTCGGTTCCATTAGTGTTCAGGCCCCACCCCCACAGGTAGTTTCTGAGAGTTAGGTTTGCGTGAGTTTTGAAAAGAAACCAAAGGTACAATTTTGTACCACAGTTTTAACTTCCATTTTGAAAGCCAGTGAAAAAATGTTAAATTCTACATCTTCACGCTGGTCTTGCCTTGTACGTTTAATCTTTAAGGGATACTCTTGGTTTCTAAGTATACTAGTTACAGGGCGTTGCACCTGGGTTTTATAAGAACTTATTTCACAGACACTGATGTCAATATTTAAATTATCAATAAAAAATATTCAAATTTCAAATGTCTCCAATCTACATTTTATGAACAAAATTAAAATTTTATGTGAAATTGAATAACATCTGCATCAATGCAATCTAAATTTTCCTAAATATAATTTCTGTTAAGGAAATACTGAAGAACACAGGCTTTCCCAGGTAACAACTGACTTCTCCACTTAAATCCATTGTTACAGGTGGGAAAAAAGTTGCAGAATTTTCAGCCATACTGCATCTCCGTTTCAAAACGGCATAAAAACATCTGAGGCGCTGGTCATCTCCTGTTTGTGGCCCAAGTACCAGCCAAGGAGTGGCCTCAAATAACGGACTTGCTTCTGCACATTCACGGTTTTGTGTAAACCGTGCACGCTGCGCCCACGAAACAGCTCAAGTCACCTGCNCCCCCCCCCCCTCAGCGCATGCCGTGAACTGTATGTAGCACAAGCCACCATTTGTCCTTTGTTCCTGTTTCAGTCTTGGCAATACCATGTAAGTCACTGACTTTTCTGCCTTGAAAGACATCGACTTAACATTGAGGTGTCCCCTCAGTGCCACCTGTGCTCTGTGGACCCTTATCCACCTGGGCTGTTCGCTCCCTTAACTTGGGACCCAGGTTGTCAGTAAGCCTTCAGAGCAGTCAGGTTAAGGCAACATACTCATTCCTGAAACTGCTGTGCTGTGCGAAGTCCCAGTGACAGCCGTCGGGCTTGGGCACCGTACCCCAAAACACATAGGAACCTAATCAGATAATAGCTGGTTTCCACACATTAAATGGTTAAGAAACGCCCAAGTACCATAGGGTAAATATGGCGCTGGATCTCAGAAGCCCTGAGGTGGCTTGTGAAGTGGGCATCACGGGGGCAAGTGGTGAAAGGCGGTGTCCTGGGCTGGGCACATTCCCAGCCTGGCTCCGCGCCCACGGCCCTCACCCAGCGCGGAGGTCAGCAGCTTCTCTAGGGCCAGCGAGCGGGTCTCAGGCTTCCGTGAGGCAGCCAGGAGGCTAGTAGGTAGGCGCCTGCCTAACAATTTAAAACGTAACCACTTAAAAAGGAAAAAACACTGTAGCTGGAGACACTAACAGCCAGCCAGGCTTTGTCCCCAGGCGCCCCCCCCCCCCCCACGTCGTGTCTCACAGACAAAGCCACAGAGCAGAGGAGGCGTGTTCAAAAGTTTCCTTTCTAATTTCTCAATCAAGCTGGAGTGTGTATTTGAAAACAAACCTTCCAGAACAGACTAGATTCCTTCACTACAGGAGGCCTCCTTCCGGGAGCTGGGCCTCAGGCCCACTTTCAGATTCACAGAGCCATCCCTGATGGCACTTTTTCAATAGGTCTTAAAAAAAAACCATGTATAATGTTGGCTTTTTTTTTTTTTAAACTAAACAGTCAAGCAATCATTTACTTGACTTCACAACTGAGGAGCCACTCAAGTGTCACAAAGTCAGTTATACCGCGCCTCGTCGCCAGCTGAAGGCACGCTGAGCACACAGAACTGAAGTTACAACTTTATTGACGACCAGAGTAACATAACAGATGCATTTCCCATCCATGCTTCAAAAAGAAAAAGGTGTTGGCGGGCCTCTGACTTATCCCAATTTCCCTACACGCCCCAAGCTCTGTCTCCTGTTCTCAACTTCTCTGTACTTGGAGCTCCAGTGCCATCAGCGGGAGTGTCATAGTGCTTGGCAAGGAATGTCACGTAAAAAGCAGCCGCCTCTGAAACGGACCCGAGCAGGGCCTGTGCTATGTCACAGCAAGCCCCACAGTCTCTGCACACAGCACCTGCCGGCTGTGTGTACCCCGGAAACTGTGACGGGTACCACCCTCCCGAGATCTGCCTGCCTCACTCTGCAGGTCCCATCACGGGCCAGGGAGAGTTAGGAGATGAGGGCCGAGGTTGGACCCGCACCCTGCAACAGACTCAGGAAGCTTGGAGCTTACACTTGAACTGAAGCTTAGACACCTGATCTTGTGTCCGCTCGTCCTCCGTCAGCCATCAGCCACGAGACGGGTTTGCACACTCTGAACGGCACTTCTGAAAAGGCCCTCTGGTTCCTCGTGACTTCCCCCCAAGATCTGCCGTTCTCTGGAGCTGCGGCTCCCAAATGTGGAATCCCACAGGCACCCTCAGATCTGGTCATTCTGAAAAACGTACCACTTACGAGCAGGTTCAGTGCCTCACGTATCCACGCCTCCTTTACTCTTTACCAACATAACAAACATACTTTAAAATGTTTTTCTACAGTAACATGTTTTCACATAAAAATTATAAATTTAGGAGTCTAGTTTCTTATTTTCTCTTTGGCAACTACTGTTGCTTGGACAGTCCTCGCTTTTCCCTTTACTAGGAAAAACCCCCCTGACAGAGGGGACATGGGAGCGGGACACAAGGCCTCCCTGCCGCCGATTTGGTCCCTGAGGTAGTTGTCACCAGTGCTCACGAGGGCTACCTGACGTGTGTGTGCTTCACTCCCGAGCGGTTAAACTCACACAGTGGACTCTCACCCAGCCTCTGAGCCACACCCCCACATGGCTCTTCTGGGGTACATGACGGTTTACAGGTGAGAGGTCCGTGTGGCGTTCTCAACATTCCTCATCATTGGGGTACGGCACTGTGGTTACAGAAGGCTGGTTTTCAAGTTGCAGGTTTTATTGGTTTTAAAGATTTCAAGACCCTCCAGCATCATCTGTTCAGACAAAAAGAAGAGAATGCGAAAATATTAAGGTTTAGCTTGAGAAAGTCTCCGCAACAGGATTTTTATTTCAGAAACCTTTCAGTTTCCTTACGTGTAAAGGCTCCGAAAATGCTTCCATAATGGAAACAGGAGCCACTGTCCAGACATGGCTTTGTGCGTCATAAATACCATCAGGGGACAAGTCAATTATGACACTAGGTTTGCGAAGACCTGTGGAACTCTCAGCCTGCGGATGTGGGTGCTCGCCCCCTTCTTAGTGGAGCCGGGGTGGGGGGCAGCTCCAGCACCTGTAATGGGGGCCTGCTGAAGTGCAGAGGAGGAACGCTCGGCGTGCGAGCGCCACAGACGGGACTGCGTGCTGACCGGAGCCTGCCAGTCCCCAGCTCCAGCCTGAGGGGCCGGCCAGCAGCACCGACACGAGCCCTGGTCTCGCCCACACGTGGCACAGGACAAGCTTTTCGCAAGAAACAGACCAGAGGGCTTTGTCTGCCTGGTCTGAAGCAGGCTGATGTGGGCGCTCGCATCGAAGGGGACCCCGGGGAGCCCCGAGCCGGCTTGCCCACTGCTCCACAGCAAGTCCACCGGGCAGTAAGCCCTGCCACCAGCGGGGGACAAAAGCCTCCTATTCACAGCAGCACTGAGAAGAGTCCCCCAGGCCTGCTTTTCTAGGCATCGCAGGCTCCGAGGGGCCCCAGACCCAGGCCTGAGGAAAACAAGGGGCAGGGAAGACGCCAGTCGCCTGAGGAAACCACTCCAAGAACACTAGTCTTGTTTCGTTTCTATTTAGTTATAGATGTCCCTACTGGCTGAATTCACAATCCACGTATTTGCTCCAAGACCTCAAAGAATTTTATGCAAAATGCTATCATAATGGAATGTGACGAAAAGAACACACTTGACCTTGACAGTGAGAACATGACCTGCCAGTGGCCCAGGAACCGTGACACTGGGCCCATGTACACGACACACAGTTGGCCAACCGGGAAAGACACTGACATTGTTTTAATCAAATAAGTGATGTTGTTCTCCTCTTTTCACCGTCAACCCGTACGCACACTGAGGCTAATTTCCTTTCAGTCCGGTAACCATGGAGATCAGCATGGATGATGGAAAGCTGGCGGGCTTAGGGAGGTGAGGTGAGGAAGGGGAGGTGGGAGGGGAGGGGCCGTCACAGCCCAATCTTCACACTGGGAAGTCAGTCATGGGAATAAGTACACTGCAAGAACTAGGAATACTACACTATGGGAGGGGACAGCGAGTGACATGGGTCACCCTCGAGTCCACAGAGATGATCTCTAAGCAAATTGTTTAAATAAATCTCATTCAGTCACAGAGGCAACCAGAAACAAATGATTTAAAGTGCTTTTCTCTGGAGACTAAGGTGACATAAGTCAGGATAAGGGGAGTGACTGAAAAGTCGGGGGTCCCCGACAATGTTGTGTGTCTTGAACAGGATGTGATCACGTGGGTGTATCCACTCTGGGAAAATTCACTGGCCGCCCTACAACCTGTGTGCTTCACGTATGTCTCTTCAATAACACGTTAACTTACACAGCAAGTTCCAGAAGTGGGAGCCTCTGGGCAGGTGGCATGCTGTGCGCACCATGCCTTCCACCAACAGCCAGGGCAGGTAAACAAAGCGCCATGACTGGAACCACCCGCGCACCAGGCAGACCCGCCACAGTCCCCTGGAAGGAAGAGCCCTGGCCCCGGTCGGTACCTGATTGTCTGAGCTTCTTCTCGACTTCAATTCCGTTCTCTTCCAGCTTCCTCTTCGCACAGTCCTGACATGCACTACCTGAAAGATGAAGACTTAGTAAAGGGCTCATCTCTTCTAGAACCCACCGTCCACAGAGCAGTGTACACACAGATCTTACCGCAGAGGACGTCAACAGAGCTAAAGCTTTTCTCAAAAGAAAAGGAGGGCTCGGGGGTCACAGTTAAGTGAGGAGGCAACTATAATAAGTGTGTCCTTTCACATGGAGATGAGGTAGAAATGGAAGTTGCTGAGCTCGACTGGTTTGTAATTCCCACACTGGGTCCGCTGAGCCAATGGGGTAAGTGGGCTCTGACCAACGGGCTGACCGCCTGGAGAAGTCTAGTGCCAAGTTCAGCCCAGGGGGGACGCTGGTGGCTGCGGGGCTCAGGCACAGCATGTGAATTCAGAAACAGGCAGAGCTGGCCAGCAGGGAGAGCGCCCACATTTCACACACATGAAACAGAATTTTATACGGATGGATGCTCAGGACCTTTGCAATGAAAATTTATGAAGGGGATGGGTCACAGTCACCACGTCCCGACCGGACGCTGTCCCTGATTTGCGGGACGCTCAGCTGTCAGGCGGGAATTATCCCCGGGCCCACATCTGACTGATACGTCTGACTAACCCATGCTTCCCGTCGAGGGAGAGCCCTTTCAGTCCCTTCCCTGTGGCGGCGACCATCTCTGGGGGAGCTGTTCTAACACAGGCTAAGGATTTACTGTGAGGACACGTTTACGAGTCTACAAAGAGGGGCAGGAAGAGAACGGGTTCAGCAGGCAGAAAACAGGCTGATGAAAAACAAGGTCTGCCTTACCCAACGACGTGGTGCTGTCCACTCGATCCGCGTCTGGAGAAGAAAGAAAACAGTCAATTCACGTGCCCTGCCCTCCGGCCGGCTGGCCGGCGGTGGAGATGGTGGCGAGGCCACTGCCCGGCTGGAAGGCTGGCTCCGGCACGCTGTGGAAGCGAGGACTAGTTAATGCCCTTCCTCTCCACCTCCCAGGGCCACCTGGGCAGCCCCTGAGCACACAGGGAGCCCGGCGTGGTCCCCACTGTCACTCTTAGGTCTGTCATCGCCAGGATGCCACCCTCTCCAGCCAGGAGAGGCACCTCACGAATGGAAGTACAAATGTCCTGAAGGACACACTCACAGAGAACGAGTCCCAAAGGTCTCTCAGGCCCCTGGCAGCTGCCAAGGTCTGGAAAAGGGGCCTCGGTGGGGACGGGAAGGCGCTCGGCGGCACGCTCCAGGAGCCCGAGCTCACGCGGGTTTACAGTGGGTCCTGGTCCTCCGGGTACTTGTGCGTGTGGAGGCAAGAGAGGGCATGGTTAGGGGCAGAGAGGGGCGCCTGCACCAAGGCCTGCCCGGGGACACGCTCAGCGGTGCACTGCACTCTGCTGTCAGTCCAGGGCCCCAGCCCGGGCACCAGCTGGGGAAGGGAGTCGCCTCGCCGAGCTTGTCTCACCATCTGCAAAAGCAGCAGTGGGTACTGTGACTAAAAATGAAGTCCGATCGGGAATGCAAACCTCAGAGCAGTGTGTGGGTGACACAGCACATGGCAGTTCCCTTCTTCTCTTAGCCCTTATTACACTTCTATTAATGGAAATGCAACTTAAATTGGTCCATTTTGCTAATTATTAGCAATTCAGAAAAGGACCAGTGGGGAAAACTAAGGTGGTGGCTCATCCGTGCGCTTGGTTACCCATGACCTTAGCATTCTCTGCTCACATCCAGCCGACTTCGCAGTTAACCCAATTCCACAGCGTGGGGGAGTGTGTCTGGGTTTCCTGTTACAAGTGAATGATAGTCAATACAGACTTTTCCAAGCTTGCCGTCATCCATGTTTTATGATACCAAACTCAAAACCATGAACCTCCCTCATGTCAAGATGACCGATTTAAGAATTGCTCAGTTATCTTGGTCATTCCTGGCAGATAAACAGCTCCCGGGGGGAAGAGCCAAAAAGAATTACTAAAAAGGGGAGCTGCACTCAAAGAACAGGGAAGAGATGTGGTCTGGAAAAAGAAAAGTCTTCATGAGATCATTTTTGTGCCTCTGCAGTTTTAACTTTTAAAATGCGGTGACAGGATAAAGGTATGAAATATCTGCATTTTCCCGGGGGTCAGCACCACGGCTGAGGAAGCTGGCTATCGGTTCTCTTTTCTTGGTTCAGGTAACCTGACGCGCAGCCATCATCCGAAACAGGAGTGTGTACGACACACACGGCTTTCAGCTCCAAAGGCCTGTTTCCAGACTGTTACTATCACACCAGCTACCCCAGACTTCCATTTTTAAAGTACAGAGACATTTTTAGAAAATAGCTGGAAGACTGGTGAATTTAATGGTATGTAAGTAAGGTCTCAATTCTATTTTGTGGTCCATAAATGATATCTCAGAAAAAAGGGGGGGACGGGAAGAAGCGTCCGGTTTTATACACTGACGAGGGGAGAGGACGTCCGTACCTGGGCTCCGCTGTCTGCAGATCTGAGAGGCGAGGTCTTGCACGTACCCCGGGAAGTCGCCGAAGCAGTCCCCGTAGGACACGACCTTGATGCCGTGCAGCAGCATGTCCGCTTGCTGCTTGAAGAAGTGGTCCTCGCTCTCCTTGTGCACCACCATGTAATGCTCCAGCTCCACCTTGTTGGGCACCGAGTAGAGGAACAGGGCCTGGAATATCTGATCACGAAGCGTCTCTCCACAGCCCACAAACAGGAAGGACTTGGTGCGGTACAGGTTCTGGAAAACTTCCTGTGAGAAAACCAACCACAGGGATGCCGGTCGGAGCACTCCATGCCGGACAGCCAGCTCCATGACGAACCACAACGCGACACGTCTGCATGTTCGTATCCCCGCTCCCGGACAGGCCTTTCCCAGGAGCCACCCCGAGCGAGGGACAGTCGGGGAGGCGCCGCCCGAGCGGGGCACTCAGGGCCACCTAGGCAGCGCGGTGCAAAGGCCGGAGCTGAGCGGATGGCGCCTTGGCACCACGGAGCCTCTTCCTGTCCAAGCCAGGGCACCGGCCCAGGCCCGGTGTCGATGAACCCAAAGCAAGGGGGGCCCACTGCCCCCCCCCACCACCAATCCTGTCGGTCGCTCACCTCTCCTAGAATCTGTACCATTTTAGAACATAAAATAAGGACATTGAACTGTTCAGTTCAGAACTGCACATGCCCTGGAATCAACATCTGTCTCAATAGAGCACACAGATGGGAACCTCTGGGGGGTGGGGGGCTGGTGTCAGAACAGGGTTTTGGGGAGACAGGGCAGCAGGACTGAAGAGGCACCAGCAATAGTGACCCAAGGGAGTGGGCACAGATGGGGGGGACAACGATTATGTGGGGTCACTCAGGCCAGCAGGGGAGAACCAGCAATTCAGACATCATCTCAGGGCCAGTGCCTGCTCAGCGTTCCTCACAGCCCGGGCCATGTTGCTGGCACAGCCGAGCAGCCTCCCCTGTCGTCCTCGTGCCGCGCCCCGCCACGTTCCACAGGCCCAGGTGTGGCCCTGAGCTCGCCAGGGACTCGGGGAAGACACTGTAACAGTGGAGGAGTTTACAGAAGGCAGCCGAGCCGTTTTCCACTTCATTTTGTCTAGGATACCAAGAAAGCCTCCCAGAGAAATAGATTTTAAAACTCGATTTTGAAGGCCAAAGAGAGTGCTAAGTACAAAAAGACGAGTTTCAGACAGGAAGACGCCTGAATGAACACGGGAAAAGCGAGGCGGAGGGAGGACGGGCCGGAGACCACCCCACAGGCCGTGCGGGGCCTGTCAGTCATGCTGACGGAGTTCAGCTATACCCCTGAGCGAGTCACTGGGCAGCTGGTGGCGTGGACCAAGTCAGATGGGACCAGTGCTTTCACGGGATCTGAGTCCATGTTTACTGAGCGTCTGTGTGACATGCCAGACACGGTGCCAGGCCCTGGACACACAGCGGAGGACAGGAGTGCAGCCCAGCCCCAGCAGCTCCGTGGCCCCGGGGGCAGGGACGCCTGGAGGCCAGGAAGCCACTCGGCAGCTGCCCACCACAGTCCCAAGGGGTCCAAATGTGACTAAGGAGGCGGCCGTACCATGACTTCTGGGTCCTGAGTGACATCCTTATATCCCGATGGGTCCAACACCATCCCACAGGGGTCTGTGTACAAGCCGTGGATGTGAAGAACGCCGTACCTCACGTGGCCCCGTGCCCACTGAAGGACCTGTCAAAACACAGCCCAGACAGAAAAGAAACCTGGCATCACTGAATGCAGACGGAAGGGGAAACACCTAAACTAGATGCGTGGTTTTCCCAATCGACCTTGGAAAGGCTAAGAGAGGTTTTCCATTTATAATTCTACCTTGAAAACCTAAGAGGCAGTCAGCGATTGGCGCTAGCGGCTCCTGGCAGAGGCATGAAAAAGAGCTCCAAAGTCAGACACCGTCCTTAGAAAATACCTCCAACATCTGTGGTTCCAGCAAGGTGCCACGAGGACCTTCACGTCTAAGTTACATGTTATATTTTCATTGATTACTGCTATGTATATAGTGTTTCTACACCCAGAGAAAAATACATGGAAAAAATAATTGCTCAAATAACCCTAAACTGACTTCAGTTCAAGCTTCCGAACAAAGGTCCTTAAGACACTCATGACATCTAGTCCATCTCATCCTCATGCCAGCGGCTCTCTCCTCGGCAGGCAGCCGGGCATCATCAGACAGACCAACACCAGCAGCTCTAGCACAAAACAGGCAGGTGAGCAGCTGGCGCTTCTGCAGAACGTTTCCAGACACCCTATTTACATCCTGAACGAGCCTCGCAGGTGGAACTACATTGCTCGGACATGTTGCGCAGGGTTCTACCCAGAGATGGTGGGACTCCAGCACGGGGACTGGGCCGGCACAGCCCCAGAGCCAATCTGTGCAGGGCAGACGGCCTGTGCCCGGGGGCCCTTGGGCACGTGGCCGCCCGTCCTTCTTTCTTTGCCAAGCTCTGGAGAAAGGCTGCCAAAGGGAGGCTCCTGGGATGCAAAGCCAAGCCCTCCCCCTATCGGGTCCTGAGCGAGATGTCACCTGTACAGGCTTCAGTTCCTTGTGTGGGAAGCATGGCTGGGACCTTCCCTCAGGACGTGAACCAGACGCATAGGTAGCAGGATTAGTTGGCAGTGATACAAAGCTTTAAGCAAATTCACAAGCGACACAGACATGTCATACAAGAAATATGGTCAGTGAAATGAAGCTGTTTAACCTTAGTAATAAGAGAAATAAAAATGTAAAATTTTCACCTATCCTAAGGGTGAAATGTCTTTTGTTTTGCTTTTTAGTAACACCATGTGTTGGCAAGACATAGAGAATGGATGCAGGCATCCTTTAGAGCTACTGCGGGTTCGGTTCCAGACCAACAGAAAGAAGCGAGCACCACAACGAAGCGAGTCATAACCTTTTGGCTATGAGGGTCTTGCCTTCAATTTGTAAAAAACGCACGACCTGTGACGCGCCATAAAGCGAGGTGTGCCTGTAACCCCGTACGCTGCTGGTGGGAGTATAAACTGGTAATCCTTTTGGAAAACAATCTGGTAATTTATATCATCTATCTTTAAAATATCATGCCCTTTGACCTCTTCTAGGAATTTATCCTAAAGACGTAAACAGAGATACAGAAGTGTAAGGATTTTCATTGTAGCATGATTTGTAGCAGTGAAAATATGAATAAGAAGGGAAAGGTAGCAATGATACTTTAGTCTTACAATTATAATGCCATTTAAAATCATGCTTTTAAATACAGCTTAATGTCAGGAAAATGCTCACAGTACAATATTAAGAGAATATATCACAGTAATAACTTTACATATATTACAATCCCAATTTGTTAAAAAAAAAAGTGCCAATTAACCAAGATTCACAGGACTGGGTGATTTTGTTTTACTCCACTATTTTCTTTATTACCCACATTTCCCACGATGACTAAATGCAGGTGGAAAACCCTTGCAGATCAGCAGAACAAGGACAGGAGCAGGCAGTAAGAGGGTCCTGGGAAGTGCAGGGCGTCCTCCCCCAACCCTGGAGAAGAGGCTGGCTGAGCCACCCCAAGCCCTGACCAAGTCCTGCGGGGTCTCCGGGTCCTCCACCCGGGGCTAACGGAGGCTCCATCAGGACTAAGCTCCTCCCACACCCACGGGGAGCACTCCTGCCTTTCTTCCCCCGCCCCCTCACGTGCCCGCCCTGACGCCACGCCTACCTTAGTCTTGTCCTTCAAATCCAGGGACTCCATGGGCTTGTTCTGTTGCTGCCCAAAGAGCTCCAGCAGGTTGTCGTAGTTGGTGGTCAGGACCATCGTGCCCCGTTCCATCAGGCTGAGGATGGACTGCAGCACCAGCGGGTTCTGGATGTGGGGCTCCAGGTTGTCGAAAATCTCCATCAGGCAGTCCTGGAAGAAGTTGGGCTTGGTGTCGCCTGTCCGCTAGGGAAAGGTGAGCCGGGAGTTACCAAAAACATCGTCTGTCAGCAACTACTGAGCACCTAGCCAGGTAGCATTCTGGGTGCCGACGAGGGGGAAGGGGGGGGACCCCTGACTTAGAGTTTAAGCTCTAAGGAGGGAGACAGATAACGTACAGATCTGTCAGTGCTACATCAACAGAGATAAGTGCTTTGGGGAAAGAAAAGTGGAGAAAGGGGGACAGGTACTGCTGGGGACAAAGGGTGGATGGGTCAGAGGGCATAGGGAAGGGGCCTCTCTGGAGAGGGGTGTTTGAGCACAGGGCTGAGGAAGTGAGCAGCCCAAGCGAAGGGCAGAGCGAGTGCGAGGGCACCGAGGTCACAGCACAGGTGGGTCCGAGGGTGAGCGAGGGGTCCTGGTGGCAGGAGAGAGGGAGGGGCTGTGTCAGCAGGTGAGATCAGAGGTGACCCGGAACCAGACCATGTGGGGCCTTGAAGACCGAGGTAAAGATGTCAGCTCTCCCTCTGAAAGCTGCGAAGTGCTAGTTTTCCCCTCGCTGCGGGTCTAGGAAATGGGGTGTCTTAGCGGCACCTTAAATCAGGTGAAAGACAGTGGCATACACTGCTGAGAGTCACAGGGTTCCAAGGAGGTTTGGCGTCTGGAGTTGGGTCACTAACTACCACGAGCTGGAAGCTGCATGGTGACATGGCAGAGCAGCAGAACAGGAGCCGGGTCCCCAACACGGTCCAGCCACCACGCGTCCTGGGGCTGCCTACCCAGACTTACTATGTGAGGATCACCAATGTGATCACATCGAAGCCAGCGGCTCTGCATCTCCACAGCAGACCAAGCTCTCCCTGGCGACTCCGCACCCTTTTTCGTGCTTTCTCTTGTTAATCTTCCAGCACGTCGCCCCCACCCCGACCCTCAGACAATGCCTGTGCTTCTCCAATGAGTACAGGAGTAACGAGGAGAAACCACGTCGTCTGGTTTCCCAGCGTTGGCACCTGCACGCTGTGCCGACCTGTGCCACGCTGGCCTGGCCACGCGCCCGTGTGGGCTGACCCCACTCGTGGTCTCTTTTCCTCTCTACTAGGTCATTTCCACCTGCAGACAGAGAAGCTGGAACTTCTCCCACCTAACGTGTCTTTAGGAACCACTTGTCATCTGAAGAGGTGCGGCTGGCCAGCTCGGACCCTAAACACAGGTAAAGGTGACCTCTTTACACAATGAATACGAGATCCTAAGGCTGGTCCCCAAGGCAGCGTGACCACACCCGACACTCCATTTCACACAGGCTGTTTTGGAGCCCCGCACTGTCCCTGCATCACTGTGTAAGGAGTTGACTCCTGATGGACTTAAAGACCGTGGCGCATCAGCCTGACCGCTGAGAGGACACGATGCAGGCGTGCAGGCACGTAAGCATCAGTCACAGCTGCCCCAGCGAAGCCTGAAGGACCTGTCTGAGAAAGACTTACAGGCGACATCTTCCGGATCAGGTCGTGGGCCACAACCAGCAGGTCCCGGTCCTTCGTCACTTTCCTGCGGAACTCGGCCACGTCCCAGGGGTGGAGCACCTCCAGTTGCTCTGCAGCCTCGATGACAGCCTCGATGCAGCTCCTCCACGAGCAGAGGGCGGGGATGCCCGGGGCCACGGCCGCACTGACGCCGGTCCCGATGACCAGGAGCAGCTCCTGCGGCTGTTTCCGGATGAGGCTTTTTAAAAACTTTCTACTTAAAAACAAAGGAGGGACAGAATGAAAGTCAACGCGGAAAAATGGCAACCTCGAAGAAACATGGTGCATGCAGTTCAGGGAGACCTGGGTAGGGTCCGGTCCAGGCCGGCCTGTGCTGGACACACACACACACACTTCCCTGACTCCACGCTACTGGAAGATGGAGCCTGGGTGTTATTCTTGACTGTCTGATTATCTGACATGTTCTTTCCTCAGTCCATAAAGGACGTGGGGACAGTGGTGTCTTATTCCTCGAGTCTCCCAGGGTGTTCAGCGCAAATTTAAGTGACATATATTAGTGAACAAGAAGCAATTTTAATTCCTAAGAGGCTGCCAAGAGCTTGTACATAACCACGATGACAAAAAGATGCCTGCTTGCCATGACAGATAAAATTCCTGGCAAAATGCTGCTTTCGGCCACTTATCAGTCCCAGTGCATTCCAAGATGCGTGCCCCATATCTTCCATCCCTTTATAATAAGCATTGCCTGTGGTCCACAGTCAGAGAATTCTTTCCTGCGGAGCATGGCATTCCTAGCCTCCAATGTGACCCTCTGAGAATAGGTGAGCGTCACTTCCGTGGGCAGAAAAGAAACTGCCTTCTGGAAGGTTTCTTAGGTTGAAGCAAAGGTGGTTCCACAGCCTGAGATTCCCTCCTGACCCAACGTTCTCACTTCACCTTCGCCCCTGTAAGTACTCAGCAACATAAGGCACTCGTGACAAGTGCTATCCACCTGCATGAAGGTACAGTTCACTTCATTTACCTTGATTTTTGTTCACTTCTATTTGGTGTCTTTTCCACTGAATCCATCTGTGAATCCTAAAGAGAAAAACCAGTCAGAAGCGACTTCTATTTCCCAAATAAAAGTTCTTTTATTAGTATCCCGAAAGAGAGCTGCAGCTGGAATTAAAACCAAAGGTCCTGAGTCTTTACTTAAATTGGAATATCTGAGACAGGTCACTACAAAACACCTACATCCAAACTGTCCCTTAAGCCGCGTCCTAATTTTGGGTGACTTCCCAGGCCGGCTCAGACTCATTCTCCATAGCTGTGCCCTGGACGGGAAATGAAGGGACACTGGCGTGCACCGAGGATGGGAGCAGGGGCAGTGGTGGCAGCCTGGGGGGGAGGGCAGTGGCCACAGCGCTGGGGGGGCAGTGGCCGCAGCGCTGGGTGGGTTTTCATGCTGTCCCCTTAATGACTCTATTCAAGGACAGCGTCCAGTTGACATGAACACAAATGACTCACCACAAAAGAGGGAACTGGCCAATGCACACAAGGACAGGCAGACCCGGGCTTTCAGGGGAGGTAGTGTGTTCTCTCGGGCACTGAGGGCTGAATTTCGGGCGGAACGTGACACTTCTCAGCAAGCTTCCCGAGGTGCCAGGCCTCCCCTTGGCCGTCCTGAAATCCAGCCCAAAGAAATAATCAAAATGGAAGCTCATTCTTCACTTACATAAAACAAGTCTTAAACCAGCTAGGTCACTGTTGCCAAACTATCACCATTATCTACAGAATCACATTGCCCCCTAATTCTAGAACTATTTACTGCAAACAGGAAATTATACAAAAAGATGAAGTTTAAAACGCCCACAATTCTACTACCTATGAGCAGTAACCGTTATTAACATTTATATATTTCCTTCTAGGCATTTTATTTTAAATTTTTCAATCACTTGAGACCATAGTTCATATCCTACTTTTTTCATGCATTAGGATAAAACCATTTCCCATACGTTACTGAAAACGATTCGTAAATATAATAGCTACATACAGGGAATTCTATCTTACTGGCACGCCATCACTCCTTTACCTAGATCCCTAACGCAGGACGTTACCGTCACGCTGGGACAGCCATTTTTGTACACCGAGTTTTTTACATATTTTGAAGTTATTTATTTAGGAGAGGCTTCTGAGAAGCATAATTGCTAAGTTAAAGAATATGAACACTGTAAAATACTCCAGGGCCTACTGCCAAACTGCTTTCCAGAGAAGTGGTCAGCAGAATAAGTAAGGGCTTGCTTTGCCACATCATAACCAGCGCTGCGAAAACTACCTTTTCAGATGTGTCTTTTTCCCCCCTCAGTTAGAATCAGGTCACCAAAAATAATTTTCCAGGGTAAGGAAACAAGGCTTAATCAGTTTCTAAGTACTGTTAGATTTCAGCACTAAATGGGACCCTCAGAATATGCCCTGAAAATGTTCCTTCGGCTTTGTATGGGTGCGTGTGTACACCCCCACCCCCGGCCCAGGGAAAGGGCTCAGAGCTTCCATCCAACTCCCGAAGGTGTCTGTGACCTTCCCGGAAACGTTCAACTGCTGCTCGCAGGTGCCAGTTGCCTGCCCGCCGGAGAGCTAGCAGTGTTAGGGCTGAGCCGGGCCCTGACCCAGCCTCCATCCCACTGTGGAGTCACAGCCAACAAAGGTCAAATCTTTTTGGTTTTTTTAACCTGCTAGATATTTTCCAAAGAAAGTAACAACTACTGTGGTTTTCCATTATATAAGCAACGCAGGGCCCAGCCCTGAGACTTCAACCACTAACCTAACTCTACGCCAATCCTCAGTTTTAACAACTATAAAACACGAATTCTTGCTAACAGATCAAGTTTCGAAAGCTCAAGAATATGACAGGTGCTCTGGAAATTCAAATTGCTGAGTCAAACAGCTCGGATTGGGACCTGTCAATGAGCCCCCCTCCAGTCCCCCCCCCACACACACACATACACACACACTTCCCTTCTTAACGCCCCACGCTTCCTTTCTTAACCCCTCAGGAACCCGAAGAGTCATTCCAATTTAATCCTATTTGAAAAGTTATCTTTTAAAAATTAAATGTATTGGGGTAACATTGGTTAATAAACACTACATATATACAAATTTCAGGTGTACAACTTATAATATGACATCTGTATACTCTATTGTGTGCTTGATTTGAAAAATGTGAGATGCTTTTCAGTGGACTAATCCAATTGCCCCCCCACTCCTATCCCCCAAATAATTCTCATCACTTTGAAATAGTTAGTCCTTCCCACCTATGGAAAGGGGTCTTTTATTTCAGCATTCTCTACACAACACCTTAGAACCAAAGACAAGAAATGCCCCAAATTGTTTCCCTGGTAAAGAACTTTAAAAATCTCTCTCTAGTTCTTTCAATTACTCTTCAACTGCTTTTGATTCTCCAATATGCATGGTTATCATTACAAATCGAAAGCCTAAGTATTGCATTTACACACCTGCAAAGAAGGATGAGCAATTTAAACTTTTGTGGGCCGGACTTAACTCTGTAATAGTGAGTTCAAACTTTTCCGAAAGAACAAGTTCTCTCTCCAGGCACTGGACACTCACGTGACAGCTGAGAGGCTGCACTGCTTTGTGAAGAGCTTGACCTCTTTCGGGCCTGAGCCTGACGAAGGTCTGGAGCTGGCTCCGTAGCGTGTCACACAGAATCACACGGGCCCCAACCTCCAGGGGCAGACGTGCCGCTGGACTGTAACCCTGCCGTGTACCCTGAAGGGGCCGAGCAGCCCACATGGGAAGTGCCCGATTACACGAACACTCAACACAATACCTCTGGAATGATGAGCTGCATAGCTGCCCATATTTAGTCATTTACAGTTCATTACAACACTACATGTTTAAAGACATTACCTCATTTCCTGTTCTTTCAGCAGCATAATCAGCAGAGCCAAATCTCACACTAACCTAGAAAAGCACCCCAAATCTCTCCTTATTCCAGCGGGCTGCTCTCATCCCCAACTCCACTCTTCTCAGCCAATCAGATTCCAGACAACAGTAAGAAAAGCCTTCAGAGACCTTTTAGAAGCTGCATCTTTTGGTTTCCTTGGTGATCATGTCGTCACCACAGTTTGCAGGCCCAAAGCCAAGTCATTATAACAACCCATTTTGTTTTCAAGGACCTATCAGCATTTTCTGAAAGCAAAATCAGGCGCCACACAGATTTGTATAAGCAGCTCCCGTCCTTGTTATCTAAAGCCATGAATAAAAGTCTTAAGAGGATGTTTTCGGCTTAAAATTTGAGATCATGAGTATTTTATGACCCAGCTTCAGAGTGGCCAGAGACTGCCTCATTCTTTGAATCCAGCAGGAGCCAGCACTAAATAAATGCTCATCGAACTGAGCCCCTTGCAAGAGAATAAACTACAAATACCCAACGTGTCCTTTACAGCTGGCAAAACAGAGCACCCCTCACTCCCTAGCCCCACTGTGCTAGGCTGTTAATGACCTCCCCCCATCATGCCTCCTGGTAACCGAGTCCCAGTATAGCCCCCTCACCCACTGACTCCAGACCTGGTCATGTGACTTCTTTGGCCAATGGGATACCAGCAAACAAGCAACAGTTTGGTAAGCGCTTTGACACTGCACTGGACCCTGCCCTCTTAGACCCCTACCTTGTGAAGCCCAGTCTAGCCTCCTGGGAGGGTGACCAGCCACAGTAGAGAGCCGAGGCACACGAGCTGTCAACCAGCACTGTCCTCAACACGTGAGAGGCATCCTGGAACTATTCGGCGCCAGCCAGCAGCCAGCTGACCACAGCTGCACAAGCGACCCCAGCGAGGCCGGCCGCAAACCTGCTGAACCAGATGCTGATCTACAGAACTGGGGCTCGATCGTCTGAAACCCTCCCGAGCACCACCCATGAAGATCAGAGGGCTGGGAAAGAAGACAAACGTCAAGCGGGGGGAAAATGGGTCAATGAGTGAAAGAGTTCATAAGGTTTTGAGGGAGAGGGAGAAAATGTCAAGAATAGTAATTATTAAATGAACGTAACAAAAACCCTAAAACTACTTTCTATTACAAACTACACTTTCACTTTTCAGCCACAAACCATGAATTAGAAGTTGCAAGTCTGTGGGATCCTCAAAAATATCCTTGGAAAGCCTCCTAATTTCTTTCTATAAACCATCATCGGGGTTTCGAGCGCATGAAAGAGCAGAGAGATGAGAGGGCACGCGGTGACGCACACCTCATCACCATGAAGAGGGGCTCACAAGACACACTCAAAATCCACCCCTCTCCCTGGCAGTGCAGGGGCTATCGCAGATACTCACCAAGACTCCAAGGGTTAGCTTCTAACTCCCCTTCAGGCAAACCAGAGATGAAATAAGATATCCCCCAAACTTGTGGAAAAAGACACAGGTCCCTGTGAGGACGAATGACTTGATTCATGCAAAGGCGGGGCAGCACCATGGGCTGTTACTACCAGTGTCACCAGTACCACTGTGCTACTGTTACCCAGGTAACCCACACTAAGAGCTGATGTATAAATGTGCTACTCGGGAGGCAGGAGACTTGCAAATACCAGGATTAAGTGTAACGCATGTCACCAGTGTGGTCCCTAAGGACTAAAGGAGGCCAACACCCATCAACTGTCTTCCGACTGCACCTAGGCAGGTCTGGAGGCCCAGGGGCCAGAGAGCAGGTGCTTCCCAGCAGCCTGGCCCTCAGCCAAGCTCAATGACAGACACACGCAGGTCGCTGACACCATCCCCTCCTCCCTCACTCTGACTGGATTCCCACAAACTGCCCTTTTCACAGCGGCCTGGTTCCCCACGGAGACTTGGGAGGGGGTCACGGAAGCAGAAATCGCTGGGCAGGAAGAGTAACTTTTTAAGTTTATCTGACAATCATCCTTCTGACCACAAGTGAATCACCTGCGATCCGGTTGACATATTTGCAGCAAATGTGATTGGCATGACTAGGTTCACCTGAGCTCGAAACAAGACACAAATGGACAAAAAGTAAGCTTCCAAAACTGCAAGAGAGGCTTACGTGAAACCACAACTCCACCCAAAGCAGCACCGGGGCTACGGTGGAGAGACACAGGAGCCACCGCCACTCACCCAGCCCTGAGGCCTCTCTGAGCCTCAGTGTCCAAATCTGTCCAATGGGAAATTCCACCACCCACGTTGCTGGTGAATTTTTGGGAAGACTTTGGTGAGTTGACTATCTGAAAGGTACTTTATCAACTGTGAAACGTTTACCTATTGCTATAAACCACCCAGCAGCCAGCTTGTTTCCCCAGCAACAGCGGCTTCCAATCCTACACTATTTCACAGGGCAGCCACCAGACTGCAAATTAACTTAACCACAGTTCTCATAGAACTTAATCCCAGCCATCACTAGTGAGGGCTCTTTGGAATGAATTGTTTGCTTCAATTTACAGAAAACACAAAACCTTAATTTGAACACCTGCTACCTAACCCATCACTTTTATTCAGTCAAAATGAATTACGATGGGAAAAAAATGTTTATTTTGTAATGATCAAAATGTGTTCATTTGCTTCTTAAAACTAGTGTCTCCAGGGCCGGCTGAGTGGCTTGTTGGTTAGGAGCTGGCTTGGGATGCCAGCTCTGAGCAGCAGGCTCCGGTTCAGATCCCACATGGGGGCCAGTGACACTGCGCCCTCTACAGCTAAGATGGTGAACAACAGCTCAACCTGGAGCTGGGCTGCTGTGTTGAGTCGCAGGCGACAGCGTAGGCTGCAGCCCCTGCTGCAGTGAGCTACCGTGAGTGGACAGCAGCCGGCATGAACCACCGTGAGCGGCCGTCCAGTGACAGGCAACCGATCTGCCTCAACCAGGAAGAATGCAATGATCACAATACCAACATGGACCAGTGAAGCGATGTCCTCCACAACTAGACTGAAGAACAGCAATTTGTTCCCCTCCCCCAATTCCGCAATAAAATCTTTAAAAAAACAAACAAAAAACTAGTGCCTCCACACAAAGTTGCTTGGGCATAAATGCTCAAAGCAAGAAAATAACAAAACCCACCATGAATAAAAAATGTAAAGGGTCATGGTTTAGTTAAAAAAAAACATTAATTACCCTTTTTGTGCCTTTATCAAATTCAAGGGAAAGTGCTGAGCACTTCACATGCACGACCTCATTCAATCCTCTCAATAACCATATGAAGTGGCTACTATTATTATTATTATTACTACTGCTCACCTGGCCAAGGCTGACATTAAACCCTTTCATGAGGCCAACCGCCATGGTAAACATAGTCTTTCATGTTTTCTCCTAACATTAGTGCAGCTCACAATGGCAAACAAATATACTTGACATTTTACTAGGAGCCCTGCCAACAGCTAACACGTTAACTGCTTTACAGTTTGCCCATCAGCTGCAACACGTTGCATAACTCCAATAGATGTGTTATTTAACAATAAGCCAATAATGGTAAAACACATCTATGCAGAGGTCAAAGGCATACTGAACCACCAGCATTTAGCCACCCCAAGGGGAGTAAGAGCTGTTCTAGAAAGTAAACCTCCAATTAAACTTAAAATCATAGAATTTTAGAGCTGGAGGGATCTTACGATTATGGCGATACCAAATACCCTAATTTTATACAAGTGAAAATTGGGACTCCGACAGGCAGTGACTTGGTCAAGGTCCCCCAAGGAGTTAGGGGCCAGCTATGAACTCACTGCGGGCTCCCGTCCGCCACCCTGCCCCCATCCTGGCACTACCTAGCCCACTGTGACTCCAACACTTCATCTGAGGCCCTCGGTTCTACCTCTTTCCCCACCAAATCTTTAACCACCGTTCTGGTAAAACTTAATCTTTACAAAGAACAAGCCACACAGTTTGGCTGATCTGCAGCTTCACCTCCCTTCTAACAACATTTATTTTCCAAAAACCCTTAGAGAATTGTCGCCTTTAGAAAGATGTAATAGGCAGCAGGAAGAAGCCTCGGGCAACACAGCCGGCTCAGGGCAGTTTTCCTTTTGGTCTTCGCCGGTGTACCACACAGGGAACAAAGCCACCACTCAAGGACTTCACGCTCCTGGCCAGGAGACGCCTTGGGCTCCTTGGGGAAGGAAGTAGGATCTCGTGGACAAAGTCCAGCATGAGCAGTTCAACAACTGGGTGCTCGGTGCACTATTTAATATGGGGGTACGTTCCCCTCTCTGAGCCTCTATTTCCTTTACCTGTAAAAAAGGAATACTATCTTACACCTCACAGGGTTGCTGGAAACACTGAAAGGGATGACAATCCAAAGAACAAAGCCTAGAATGGTGTGCTTCCCACTAAACCCTTTTGTATGTGATTAAATACTTTAGAAATTCACTTCCTCACTCTCACACTAGTCCTATTTTACATGCTCGATGGCCGCATGTGGAGCGTGTGCTGGAGAGCGCAGTACAGAACACTTCCTCATCACAGCAGTTCCGCTGTCAGCGCTGCCCGGAGTCTCCCGCTCCCTACCCAAGTCCAGACCTCAACCAAAGTCCGACAGGTGCTTCTTCCTACCGCTCTCTAATCCATACCCTCCCCGCTGCCTTCAAGTCCTCACAAGTCACCCTGCTCCCAGTCTCAGCCCTTCTGTAACCCCACGCGGTCTCCAGAGTGACGTTTCAGACCGACTGATCTGAGCTTGTCTCTCCCTCAAGGACTTTCCATTACCTGGGGACCCCCAAGCCCAGCTTCCAAAGCTCCCAAGAGCTTGTCCCACTTCTGCTCAGCCTCCCTTCGCCCCGCCCCGCTGTGCTGGCTGTTGCGCTCACTGTAACACACGGGCACAGTCGCCCTGATGAAGCCGCAGGGGGCCACCTGCCTATGGGCTACAGGACAAAACCTCACCTAAAGGGACTAAAAAGTTCCTAATGTCAATCCCCAGGCAGAAACTGTAGGCTCCGCAGGAAAGTGCTGCAGCACGTCTTCTGGGTCAGACTTTGAGAAGCTTAGCCCTGCTTAAGGAAGTCAAGGTCCCCGCGGCCACCACCTGGTCCAGGTCACTGCCACCTCTCACGTGGTCTTGCTTCCTCCAACAATTCTCTGCACCACAACACAAAAACTATCTTCACTCCCCTCCTTAAACCCTTCCACGGCCTCCCTTCAAGTGCCAAGGCCTCTGCGGGGCTTCAGTTCTTCCTGCTTTGGTCCTGAACCCCCTCACCCGCCGCACTTCCTGCCACTCCCCCCGCAAACCCTGCACTCTGCCAGACTTCCCAGTGTCTCCCATTCTGGTCTCTCCACTGACCATTTCCTGTCTGCCTTCAGCTCTGGGCTGGATGTCACTAACTCAGGGCAACGGTGGGCAGCAGCAGCACTTCAAGAACGGGCGGAGGGCCTGGTGGGCCTCGGGAACAAAGCTGGGCTCGCCCCGCTTACGCGTCCCTCTGACACCACCCTGAGAACCTTTTTCTTTACGGGAGAGAGTACAGCTCCAGCCATCCCCAGGATGAGCCTAGGCTCCAGCCATGTTTGCGGGTTTCCAAAGTCTGGTGTGCTCTGTGGCCCGCCTCTGCCTTGTCACATACTGTCCCCTTTGCCTGGAATGACCCTGGCAAACTTCTCTTCAACCTCCACCTTCAAGAATCAGCTCGCCTGTTACCTGGCACTCCCCCCCCCGCCCCCAAGAAGCCCTCCTTAACACTCACACCCTTTCCTGAGAATCAGACCCCCACCCCAGCTGAGTCCAAGGTCACTACACCCGTTACTGTCACCTATGGAAACTACCTCCTTGCTTACCCGCCCCCCCTTCCGAAGAGGCCGGAGAAGGAGGGCTGAGTCGCCTTTAGCTCCAGCGCCAATTCCTGGAAACCATGAGGCATTCGAAACGATGTGAGTTCCATGAGTGAAAAAACGACGGCGAGGAGGCAACCTGAAAGCATCCCGATTTGCCCTAAGTCCCTCCCTGACTTAGTTCCACCTCCCGCCACATCAGATATGCTCTCCAGGCTCCTCCGTGGGCCATATGAGTCTCACCAAAAAGCATTAAAAGTTAAACACCGTCCCTGCTTTGGCCTCAATGCAACACTAAGCGCAAACGCAAACAGGGCGCCGAGCGCACACCCCCTGCGTGGTTACCGAGGATCATCAGGTGACCTATTATGTGCCTCTACTTCTTTTATATTATCATCAAGAATTCAAACCGCCGGAATACCTTCACAGACACCTGGCGGGTTCACGGACCTCAGGTTTGAGAAGCCAGCCCCGAGGCCCGCGTGGAGAGGGGGACAAACAGGGACTCAACCTCCGCGCAGGTGGCAGGGAGGGGCGGGGAGAACGCCGGGGTGGGGATGGGGGCCCAGGGACCCGGGGGGCTACGGAGAGATGGCACGGAGGGATTCTGAAGGGGACGGGGACATCTGGGGCGGTCTCGGGGGTTCCTGAGGGCATCTTGAGCGGTGGGGGGTCTGGAGCCAAGGCCCTGAAGAGCTGGGAGGTCCTCTGAGAATCTCGGAGTCTCGGGAAAATCGTGAAGGGTTTCAGGGTTGGAGAGTCCTGAGAGTGGCAGGGGCCAGAGGTGGCCGTGAACCTCGACAGGGCCAGGGGGCTGGGAGCGGACCCCAAGAGGGTCTCGGGGGCTGGGTTTCCCGCGGGAAGGGTTTGGGGGTCTTGGGAACTGAGGTCTGTCGGGGTCCTTGAGGTGGCCGGGGATCCCGAGAGTGTCAGGGGCCAGGGGTCCTGAACGGGCCGGGACGGACCCTAAGGGCCTCGGGATCCTGAGGGGCTCTAAACCCGGGGCCCCCAGGCCTCCGGGACCGGCCTCTCACCTGCGGCGCTGCGGGGACGCTGGTCGGAGCTCGCGCTCCCGCCGCCTCCTCTCGCTCAGCGGTCCACCAAGTCTCGGAGGTCTCCCGGCTGCCGCGCACCGTTCGCGCTGGGCGGGGCCGGGCCGGGGGCGGTCTGCGGGGAGGGGGCTGCGCGCGCAACCCGGCGGGAGCCGGAGCGGACGCCACGCCGCCCTCAGCGGCGACTCCCACGGTGGCGGGCCGCGGCGCCGCCGCAATGCCTTCCCCCTCGCGCCCGCCCTAGGCCGCGCGAAGGTTCCGCCCCGAAACCAACGGCTCCGCGGAAGCCGGAGGCCCCGCCCCGGGAGGAGGGCGGAGCTAGGACTTGAGAGCGGCTTCGCACCTCCTCCGGCCCCGCCCTTCCGGAAGGCCCCGCCCTCTCGGAATCTCCAGCGCTGGTGGGATCCAGTGAGCAAAAAGACCCCGCGCTTCCGAACCTGCGGCTGAGCCCCATCTGCCCCACTCTCGCCGCGCGTCCTCAGGTTCCTCAGGTGCAAAACGGGGGCGGGCGCGCTTTGCAGGGGCTTGGCGACCACTAAGTGCGATCAGAAGCGCCCCTCCGCTGCATCCCTGCACCACACTTATGCACAGCTTCACTTCAACTCCACTGGTGCCCAGACCCGGGCTGGTCGCAGGTCCCCAAACACGCCCGGCTTGCCGAAGACCTCTAACCAGCTCACATTGCCAGTCCCCTCCCCCAGCCCCGAACTCTTTTCTTTCAGAGTTCTTTTCACTTTCTGAATGATGTACACTTGTTATTTTCTGTCTGCCTTCCCGGAAGAGTCCATGAAAGTCCACCCTGAGTCCCCAAAAGCTAAGAATGGGGGTGGAAACACGATCGGTGCCCAAATATTTGTGAGTGCGTGAGTGTCCACCTGGTGCGCTTCTCTCATCAAGAAATACTCTTCCTGGGCCGGCCGAGTGGCGCGATGGTTAAGAACTGGCTTGGGACGCCAGAGGGCCCCGGTTCGGATCCCACATATGAGGGCCAGTGACACTGCCCTCTA